TTAAGTTTTCTAGGGTTTACATCTATTTATTTTTGAAGGTTATGATTAGAATTGATTTTGCCGATGAAATGGGTTTTTCCTATTTAACGAGCAAGAGTCTTACTTTGGTGTATCTCCTTGGATGGGATCTTGGCGAGGGTCGAATTCAGCAAATCTGGTTCACACTAGTTCTCGATCAGCTAGCCGATTGCCGAAGGAAAGGGATGCTGTTAGTAAGGCCAACTATGGTTTGTGTGGGAAGCATGATTTTCAAGCTAATAAGGATGCTCTAGTTCCCTAAATGAGTTTCGACAGCATGGGTTTGAAGAGGATCAACAAAGATGGGAACATAATTGGAAGTATATGGAGGTGGCTGAAAGGCCTTGTGCTTGTCAGGAAAAGGCCTATACCTCTCTTAGTTGCTCTTCTTTAAGAACAAGTAGGGCGACAACTTGTGAGTTGGGGACTGTTTGTTGCTGTAATTCCTTACTCTCCTTAAGAAGCTGGTTAAATAGGTGAGGATATCCAGTAGTTTTTAATACTCATAATAACTCTCCTTTCTACATTAGTAACCCTATTTAACCCATACAACAATTATAAATTCAATTCCTAGTTGCAGATGGTTTTCTTTGCTTAATTGTCTATATTCGTCATGGATATAGTTTGAGTACGTTACTAACACTGTAAGTTATGCTTTTGATTTTGTATTTAGGTTATTTTGATTTTGGCTTATACTATGAGATGGAGATTCTATTATAATTTTTTATTACTTAATATATTTCTATATTTTTCATAAAAAAATATATTAAAATTTATAATTTTTTAATTAAATAATTATAAATATTAAATTAATTTAAAATTTGAAATTCATGATTAACATAAATAGATTATTTCATCAAATAGTTATATTTTTAAAATATTCCTTTAATGATGGTATTTTATTTAACTAAAAGTAGTTAAATAAAAAAATTTATATTCAAAAAACTTACCTGTCGTTTAATAATTTAAGTTATATAATTCAATAAACAATCCACACTAGCTAACATAATTTTTTATATATATTTAAGGTCTAGAACTATAAACTTTTTTTAGTCAGTTTGACTTGTAAAATTAATGTTCTTTTTCTTTGACAAACAATTGTTAGGAGGCATTTGTTTGGCCCGGAGGATGGTAGGGATTTATGTCGTGTGTGTGTAGGGATGTGAAGTTGAAAGGGTTAAAGGGTCAATTTATGGCATTTGGTCATTCTTTTGACCAGCTGACATTTGGTCAAATATGACTTTTCGGTGTTTTTTTAATGCGCCTGCTAGTTGCTATTTTTTGCAAATGGTGCTGGGATTTTGACTTATTTTCAGTGTCAAAAAAGGTTAGAAGAAACTTTGAGGGATCTTTTAAAAAATAAGAATGTTGTTATGCAATTCACACAGGTAACACTCTATAACATGAACTACTAATATAATTGGCTCTTGTTTTTTTTATTGATGATTAAATAAAATATAATTTATATGAAATGAATTATATTTTGTTTTTTATTAAAAATAATAATAAGTGAAAAATTAGATATAACAGGAATTAATATATAAAGCACTCTTTTAATTCTAATTCAACTAACACATTTTTAATGCTCTGATTGCTTTCGTTCCAGCGAATGCTAGGGTTTTATCTTCTAATGGTGGGAGTTAGTTTTTCGGGCAGTGGGGGTTATTTTCCTCACTAATTTTCATGGTTTCTTGGTCACTTGGTTTTTAGTTTGATGTCTTTAGGGATATACTAGCTGAGTAAGATGAAGTTAATGGGTGGGGTTGAAGCGATGACTAGAGGAAGGATAGGGCTCGAACCTCGAGTCATTGGCTCTATCTATATTGATGGAGGATGAGGTGGGGGCTGGTGATAAAAAAGGAGTCTGTGGTAGAGGCCAAAGATTCAATTGTTGTTCTATTCAAGAGGATTGAAGCAGGTGAGGATTGGGTTTTGGATTCAAGTGAGGATGAGGTACGAAGATGGCGCTGGCTATGTCAAATAATGATCTAGGTTTCAAGGTTGTTTCTCTTTGCTTCATTCAACAGATGGGGTTAAAAGAGAGTTGATGGCGGCATTGGTGGGCCGGCAAGTGGTAATGGCAACTGCTGGTGGGGGATTCTCAGTGGTGACAATATGCAGAGGGTTTTGAGGGTTATTTCAAACTTTCTCTACAATGTAATTAGAGTTTGGTTACTAGTTGTGGTTGGTCAACCCCCTGAGAGGTGCTTCAACTCATTGATTTCAGTTTTAATAAGATGGGCTTTATAGTAGTTTCAGGTTTGATCTAGTTGAATTACTTATTTAATTATTATAGAACTACATGATAATAGCATTTATAGGTTTTTATAGATATTTAAAAGTAATCATTTATGATTCACATATTTTCTTACGATATCTTCATTCTATATTTATAATATTCAATCTATTTTTTATAATAAAAGATAGTAAAAACTAACCTATATATGATAATAATTTTTTTCTTTTTTAAATTATTTTTTACTTTATCTTAAATTTATGTTTTGAGTTAAATATTTCACTTCAAATCTTAAATTAATAATGGCAATTTTTTTTTTTTTTGAACATATTTTGCAAGGGTAGATTTTGAACCCTGTCGAGAGAGAGGGAATGCACCGTGGCTATGCTACTAGGCCCCAAGGGCCAGTGCAATAATGGCAAATTTAAAAATTGAAAGAGTCATATGTTATATATTGTATGGTGGGCATGTGAAAGAGTTAGGCAACTAATTTGTGGATACAAAATTAATTATGTCGATTATTATGTAGGCTTTTGGTATTTCCAAGGTTGAAGAAGAAGAAGGCATTAACTAGTTTCAAATTAGGTGGCTAGCCATTGGAAACTGGATTGGGACATGAAAAAAAAAATGGAGAGAAATTTTGTGAAACTAACCAAGTTTGCGCCAGAGTTAGAACAGTTAATGTTCCATACACACCCAGCAGAAGGATTGGGAACGGCACCAACCAAATCCGTAGTAATTAAAGCTCCTGCCGCTTTTTGTATTCAATGCACGTTTTGATTATCCCTTTTTTTTTTTTTTGTGGGTAGAATCACGTTTTTGATTTTCAACTTGAACGTCTGCCTTCCTCAAGCTGTCCCATCCCACTTGACTAAAGTTGCCGGTCTTTGGACGGTTTATACTTTATGAATTATGATCTTTCTAACTTATGGTTTAAAAAATATATTTATTATATTTTTTAATATTAATTTATATAAAAATATAAACATTAACATTAATTTTACTATTATTTTTAAAGAGATAAAAATGTGTTGGAATTTTCTCTCTTACTATAATTATAAGTAAAAGTAAAAAAAAAAAAAAATTAAGAGCACACATTAGCATACTTTTCAATTATTGGTGGGCAAAACTGGTTTTTGGTTAAAATTGAAATTGGTTTAAAATAACCAATTTTTTTTTTTAAATCTTGAGAATTGAAATCGAACCAAAATTATGACAAACTGATCGGTTCAGTTATCAATAAAATTAGTTTGGTTTCGATTTTTTATTAATAAATGTTAATCAATTATTTTTTTAATAATATATTATATTTTATCATATTTTGTCATATTTATCATAATTTTAGTTTTTAAAGGGCTTATTTTTTATTTTTTATTTTTAAAAAGCTCAACTAAAACCAAACCAAAATACATTCGGTTAATACCAAAATAAAAAAATAAAAACCAAAAACCATTGAAATCAAACCAAATTTATTTTTTTGGTTTGATTTTCAAATAACCCATCGATTTAGTTTCAAATGTCCAACCCTACATAAATATATAT